GCGGGAAAGTAAAGTAGCATGCACAGTACCACCCAAGCAAGGCAAATTATGCGTAGGTATATGCCGATGCTTGTCTGTGAGGCGGAGCTGCCCTCTACTGGTGCAGTGTGTTCTATTAGTTACAGTCATCCCTTCATCACCACAAGGAAGATTATGAGAATTCTGGGGTTATCAGAATAACGACAGTTTCTCAGTTGTGAAGCGAACTGAGTCATAAAAATGTTCCAGACGAGACATGTTAAATAGCTGTTCACATACCTGAAATAGATTAACAATGTTCTTAAGTAGATTCGATGTAACCCACAGCAGCTATTTACTATCGGACCACTCTGAAAATACAGATATCTCCGGCTCCTATCCACACATGACGTAAGTGCTGGGAAGAAATTTGATCCCTACTTCCCTTCAAATATTTCGGCCTTGTTTATAGAGGAACTACAAATTAAAATTAAATTTGTTCTTTATTTCTATCTCGACCTATTCATGCGCACCAACGCCAGTTTTGTTAAAGCTGTCAGACATAACCTCAGCTTCGTATTCTTGCAATATTTGCAATTGTTCACACGTAAACATTATTTCATATCCTGTATAACTTGAAAGTGGGGTATATGTACGTGGCTAACTGGGAAAAAGGGGCAACATTTTGAGGTCAGCAATATTGTTGAGGAAACTGACGTATAATAAGCTCTAGACGTGGAATATTTTTGTGATTTTTATATATAAATTAGCAGATGAAATTTTAAAATATATTTTGTACCTAATAGTGATATAAATAAGAAAAGTTAAGCTTTATGATTTCGGCTAGAGTCTGTTTTCCTTTTGAAGCAGTATAATGAATGCAGAATTCTTTACTAGAAAAGCTTACTCTATTTGAAGATAACCTTAGATTTAATTACCAATGTGATATTCCTGATTCTCAAGAGTATTATTTTCTGGAATATGACGCTTTATGTTCTGGTGGATCGTTACAATGTTCATTAGGACACTTTCAGATCCAACTCAGTTTTGAAACTGAAGAAGAGGAGATTAAATAATTTAGTGATATCCAACACCCATTTCTGAAGCATAGTGCAATGAAACAGACTCAAAAATATAATTTAATACCTTTGTTTATTATACCAGTAATTTGATACACAAGTGTACAACGGACCGCAGCATGGGAATTGTTGGACAGGAAGAACGAACATAATTTTCCATAGAAAATTGAATAAACGTGGAGTCACTTTCATCATAAACAAAATTGTATTGTATTCTAGTTACATTGTCACAACATTTGTCAAATTGTAGTTGGGACTTGCGTGCAAGTCTCCCCTTCCCCTTTGCACCACAGCAAGATTTGTGATTCCAAGCCTGGAACTGGTGACATTCTGTCCACTCGTTCGAAAAACATCTGATTTGTGTTATGATAGTAACCTCCGCGCTTTCTGCAGTATCCATTTTGCGGCGTCCATGTTGTGTATTCTTTTTTATTTTTTATTATTTATTCCTCTTCGCTCCCACGTTGGGGCATAGAACTAATTTTTCAGTTTCATTGATAATATTTACAGACGGTAAGACTCCTTAGACGAGCGATCAGCTCGTCGCAAGGTCTCTGCTTAATCACAGGGTAACACAAACACAGAATAAACACATACATACACCAAACATTCATGCATGTTGTGAGATTCGAACCCACGATCCCGGCTTCTGAGCGAGTGAAGACAGTGCATACCTCAGACCACTCGACTACCGTGACCGGCTTTGTAATGCATAATGTGTTCATTGTTAATTAACAACTAACGGCGCTAAACGAAAATAACGCTCAGCAAAAGAGAGTATTCATTCTCAAACAAACACATTTTAGTGCGAGCGACTATATGCAATCACATGGGATATAGTGATTTGCGAACTGGTGTATTAATTAATGAACAATTGACTGAAGGTGGTCTTGTAAGGCGCAAACATGTTGCAATTAAGTGTGATTTTAAGGACATTTAAATTAAAGGAGGCTGTGAACAATTTTATTGTATTAGAGAAGGATATGAGTGGACGAGTTTCACAGTAAGTTTCAACAACAAAAAAGGAGGCTCACTGCTACTTGTCTTGAAGTATGGAGCAGACTGGCGAATTATAGAGTGCGGGTAAACAGCGCTCATGGAAGAGACAAGAAAAGTTGGCAAATTTTTGTAAGAAAATTTTAATGGAAGAAACTCTAAAGAGTCTTAAAAGATAATTGAAGGATACTATTAAATTTTACCCTAAATAAGCCAAGAAAATGTGGGTCTATATATCCACTCCCCCATACGCCTTCATGGCTTAGTGCTTAATTAATTAAGCACAGAGTCAACTTTGACTTTTTAACTTTTACTCTAAATAAGTATCCCATGACAATGGGTTGGGCTCAGAATAGGTACCGTTAGAGGGTTGCATATAATACCGAGAATCTTTATGGCAGATCTGAAGAAATATTTTGCTCCATGGAGTTCGTTACTACGACGACGTTGGTCAGCATGTGTTATACCTCTACCTGCGATAGGTTAGGTAGGATATGTGATATTCTAGTAAATATATTTATGCAGCTTTACATAGAACTCAGAGACGACAACTTATTATACTGGGTAAAAAGAATGGTAAATATATCCCTATAACAGGCCGTGGAGTCCCATAGGGCTGCGAGACGTGAAGGCTCCCGCATTTTCTAGACAGTCGGCTCACAGATGAAGGTGAGGTTATCAGTCTTACATGCCGGACGCTCTTTACCCACAGTAAGATTCCTGGTACTCATTTCTGTTAGAGGCTGAGTCGACCCCAGGGCCATAGTGCGGCTGGGAGGGTTAGGTCAGATGAGACCCAAAAGGTATAAATTTCTCCCATATCAATTGGAGAAATACCATTTTAAGAAATATTGATGTTTGAAGCTAATATAATGCGGAAGTTTCTCACTCGAACTGAGTACAATAAAGATTCTTCTCTCTTCTCCGTAGTGTTTAGACCGGCTCTATGGCCCGCCCAGCCTCCTATCCAGTTGGTACCGGGGACCCTTTCTTCAGGAGTAAAGCAGGCACGGCGTAAAGCTAACCAGTAAAATCCATTTAGTGCCTAGGTCAAGAATGATGGATCTATATTTACACATCCCATACGCCTTCACGGCGGGCTGCCTAAGTGATAAGCACAAGGACAAATATACCTCATCTCTCTATATGTATATAAAACGACAGAGAAAGGCACACATGAAAGCAAATCCAAATTGGTCCATGAGACTGGACTTAGAGTAAGAAAGGGCCTGCTTAGTTTCGAAATCTATTTATTTCAGTCCCAGGAAAGGTGACGTGGGCTGATTTCATGAAAGTTAGAGGTAAATTGACAGAAGTTGTTACTTACCTTTAGTAAATGCGGAGCCAAACACCTGTGAATATTCATTGTTTAAGTTACTGTGGTAAATGTCGTACCTCAGCCCTCTGACTTCGCTGATGGCATTACGTGATTCTGTTTGTCTTCTTTTGCAGGTCAAATTTTGTACAGTTCCAGGGCCACAAAGGTAAGTGCTGTAACTGTTTACAGTAGATGTTTTTTATTTATTATATTTCTTTTTTCTTAAGGGTTTCATAGTCAGTCTAATGTTTATTAACGCATGAAAGTTTATGCTTCCGTCTTCGCCACGTCTGTATCATTCCAGAATTGTTAAATTCATGCTCGTGCCCTGCAACTCTACAAATTACTAAACAAGATTACCAATTTCCCATTTCTTTTGATACCGCCCTTCGGCAAGCGAGGTTTCCAAGTTCTATTTCATCATGCGTGTCTACACACAATAACATTTTATGTGTCCCTGTATTCTAAATTCCAGACGAATTGTGTAGATAATATTGTGTACATCATGTATAGTACTGCCTTTAAGTGAATGTGATTGTTAGACTTTGTTCTACGTTCACGCATTAGGCCCTTGAGCCTCAGCGACATAATTTTGAACATTATTTCTATGCACAAACTATATTATTCTAAATACACAGAGTGACTATAAAAATAGATTGTAATTGCGACTAACGAACAAAGATATCTTAAATAGTAACACAAATTTGTAATAGTTTACAGTATGTTGCGTAATTGCATTTGACACCTAACCCACATCTTTTGTTTACTGGCGTGCTTGTGTAAAGGGGGGGGGGGAACACAACTATAGCACCGATCTTATCGGGACACTGTCATGCGCTCTGCTTTTATTTGACTTCGATCCATTCGACTTCTGCTGAAATACATGCTGCAATAATACTGTAAATGCTTCAGTGGCGTAATGTGTTTAGCTTGTATGTTCGTTTCGCATGGATAGTTAATTTATATGGCTGGAAATATTTTTTAGCTTTGGTAACTGATCACAGAAGATAAATCAACTACGTGCTCTATCATACGCAAATGAATTTGCAAGCTGACTTAAAAAAGACAGATGCACAGTTTATCGAAATAAAAATTATGTCTCTAATATCAATTTATAGTCATAGAAAGAAAATTCATGGAATCTGTATGCGCGTTACGAATTTCACGTGTTTTTATGATCTTGCGATTTCCATCTCAATTTTTTTATGTTTCTATGCTTCCTTTTCTTTCCCCCATTCATTGAAGGAAAGCGATAGCCGATATAATGTCATCCAAACTGAAGAGCCATAGCAACGGCGAGGTGCCTTCGTAGTAGTTGACAAGTACTTCCGATAGATGGCAGTGTCATCAACAAGGCATGCGAGAGTCTTGTCATGGCAGCATCCAACTCAACTCCCACCACTCTGGACCAGTTTCATACAAGAAAGGGGTGGGAGTGTGGAGTATTATGTCCCCTCCACTCTTATTCCTGTAGATTCCTACATGCGAAACAGCAAGTATTGAACGTGGAACGCGCCAAGGAAAGAAGACGAACTAAAAGGAAATTAAAAGGGAGGGAAAGAGTCCGAGATAATTGGAACTGGAAGCGCACCAGGAGTATACCCGAGTCGCCGTTAGTTCCTCGCAGTTCACCAGTTCCTCAGGACGTTGTTGAGCAGAAGAGCATCATTCCCAACCTCTCGTGCCATGGTACTCATTCATCTTGGCTGAGGCCCGGCGACATTCACGCTTCCTATTGGTTGCCTCCAACAACACCTGTACTCTGATTGGCTCGTGTTATTTACAAGTCTACAACTGAGAGAGAGCGAGAGAGAATGTGTGTATGAGTCCTGTTTCAGTGCTTCTGTGGAGGAGTGCACAGAAAGAGAGATACGATAAGGTAGGAGTGGGGGACTACGTGAGACAGAGAGAGAGAGAAAGAGAGAGAGGACTTTTCAGTAATAGAGGGGGGGTAAAACAGCTAGCGCCATTATTGTAAGGGGTTACATTTAGTTGGTGGAGGTATAGTAGCTGGGTATAGAGGGCTATAGCCTCTACATACAGGGCCCATAAAGGATTCGAAGAAGTAAAGAGAAGAACGCGTAAGAAATTTTGAGGGTGAATAGGGTTTTTTTTGATGCGATAGTGGGTTTTTAACAACACGCGGTAACATTTCAGACTGGTGCCCCGTTTTTTTGCGGGGTGTGTACGACACCATAAAAAATACAAGGTTGTAGACAAGAAGTATGAAGGCCTGCATTATTATCGGCAGTAACAATCGTTAGCCTGCATTGTTTGGGTTTTAGTTGTGGTTGGCCTACATAGATGGACAGGGATAAGAAAACTTGCTTGACTTAAACCTAGAAAGACAAAAGTTATGTTATATTTATAAAATATAATTTATATCCCTTGCAGTATTTAATGACATTTTGATGTGTTACGGAATCGAAATAATTTTGATATGATGGTGCATCACATTCTCACTGAAGAAGGGTTAAACCCCAGGAATTATACAATAACTGTCAGTGCTCAGAGTTGTGTTTATATCTTATCAAGTGTGGTTACATCCAGTGGACACAATCAGCTGATTGCTACAGACATGTTGACAGAGGGACAGCAGGAGAAAGAGCAATGAGTTCAAAATTCTTGCTTGATAGTATGCTCCCCAAATATCACCATCAACTTTATCAGCATCACCAGCAACAGTTACTTGCAAGTAGCAATCCTTCAGCAGCATCGAGTTTGTTTTCAACATCTCCGGCTCCATCGTGTGCCCCTATCATTAGTGAAAATAACAGTACCAATAATCTCAGCAACAGTGGCTCTGCCGTTAATTACAGCAGCTCTGTCAGCATTCAGCATTCGCCCTCTTCAGCATCCTCATCACCTCAGCACACCTCATCATCGACGTCCCCTGGAATAGTTTCTGCTGCAGCAGTTAGCAGCAGGATGTATCCTTACGTGTCAGCAGCTGCCGCGCATCACCACCATCAGCAGCAGCAAGCAGTAGCGGCTGCTGCATTTGCAGGAGCTGCCGCCGCTTCCGGTTCCATGGTACCGGGAGCGTTCACATCGTCTGCCGCCAGCTCTGCAGCATTGGCAGCGGCGGCGGCTGTGGATGCCGTGACAGACAAATCTTGTAGATACACTGCAGGTCTGACAGGAAATGTACCAACACCTGACTCAATGGTTAATTATACTTTGGGCCATCATCATCAGAATGGAGCCGCGGCGTCGGCTGTTTCTGCTGCCAGCACAGTGTCCGCAGCGTCTGCATCTATGGCCGCTGCAGCGCAGTTCTATCATCAGGCAGCTGCTGCTTCAGCCGCCGCTGACCCGCTGTCGTCATGTTCCCAGCCCGGTGCAGCGTCTGCCGGCCAACCCATCCCGGACATTCCCCGGTACCCGTGGATGTCAATTACAGGTGAGTCCCATCTGAAAATACAGTTTCTCTTACGTAAATTAGCATGCCTTAGCATCTGTAGCAGCAGGCTTACTGTGTATCAGCAGCATGAGCCACGAAATCATGTCGTACCATGGTCTTAACTGAAGTCCTAATGTACATAACTTGTAAATGAGATCTAAAAGTCTGTGACGATGGTACACTAGAACAACTATTGTGTTTCTGGACATTATCCATCGTCCTGTCTTTATCTAAAAAAAATAACAGGACAGTTTCTAGATAAAGACAGGACGATGAGTATTGTCCAAAACATAACATTTGTACATAATCTTTGTCAATCTACATAAAGGTTAGATAAAGTTGTCCCTGTGCTTAGTTAAGATGTGCCATGAAGAAACGGGGAGTGGATGTATAGCCCTACTGTTCTTGATCATGGTGATCTCAGTAAAATAATTCGGAAAAGTCCATGATGAAGTTAAAATTACCCTCAGAAAAATTATGGAATTATTAGCGACATGTGAAAGTTTCCCCAAATGCAGTTACTGTCACACAGAATTATACATTATTAACAGTCTCTATTATACCACCCACATGTTTTTGAGTTGTATGTATTGCTGTATGTCTGTCTGACAATAAGATCTCCAGTTAGATGGCCACTTAAGGCAAAATGAAAGCCTTCAGAAAGGTTAAGAACGTGGAAGTACCTACAGAAAAATTGCGGCTGCATGAAGAGTGTGAGCCTGCCGAGGTGTGCATTGAAGAATTACTTTGTAGAATATATTTAGTTCTTCCTTCGCACACTCATTTACATTTGAAGAGCACGGTATTATCGTACCTGCATTTATAATGAATATATGGAATTCAAGCTGTACTGAACTTGTATCAAACATCCAAGATGGGAAGGGGAATGTATTTAAGTACTGCTTGAAAGTGGATGTTATTTTTTTTATGGATTCATTCAATTCTGTTTGCAATTTGAATGTTTAAGAATGATAATTTTGTTGGGATGGTGTTAAATTGATAACTCGGCATATAGCATAATTTACTAGGCGTTCGGAATAAGCAGTGTATATTGCAATGAAATGTGTGTGAATTTCAACAGCTGCTTTGTGTGCCTGAGAATTTCTAGCAGGTCTTCAGGAATGGCCTGCTAATTTATTGAAAATAAGTAAATATTTCATAAACATTTGTGCGGCAAACTGCTATATTAATCTGCATTCCCTTATATAGCTGTAGTATCTGTTTCTATATGCTTCATCTTTCTCTGGAGCATGGGTTTCAAATCGTCATTGTATGGGTCACATTTTGTTATATGTACGCCCATTAAAATGACACAGAACACTGTGAGTAATTCACGTTAGTGTGCCACTTGGCGCTGTGCACTGTGAAGTACGTTTGAGAAGGGGTAGGCAGTCAGCTACTGTTTGGATCGTTAACTCGGTTGTAAAGCGAGGCGTGGAAATTCGAGCTCCATTTCGACTGGTATTATGAAATTATATTTTAAATTTAAATTCACGTGGCTGTACATATAATTACAGTGTATAATATTGAATATGAGCTGGGACACCTAACTCGGTATAGTGACTGGCTACGGGCTGGACGACCGAAGGGTCAGAGTTCGAGTCCCGACAGGGTCAAAAATTTTCACTACTTCATGTCGTACAGAAGGGTCCACCCAAACTCCAATGGGTACCGCGCGCTCTTTCCCGGGCAGTAAAGTGACCGGAGAGTGAAGCTGTCCACTCATCTCTAACTAGTGCCGAGTCCAAGAAAATGTAGATCTATACAGCTATTCCCCCATACGCCTTCATGGTGTAGTGCTTAATTAGTTAAGCACAGGAACAACTTTACCCTTACCTTAATACTGAATAATAAATTGAGATAATTGATTGAGCAGTTAGGATTAGAACAAAAATCGCATTTAAAATTTAAAAACAGTTCTGTACTTTCCGTCATGAGCTTGCTCCAGAATTATTCCATCCATAAATAACTGATATGTGGATATTTCTATTATGTGCATCGAAATGGCCATATGTATTACAAGCAAATAACGAAATAATTTAGAACTCTCATGATCATGACATTTCACCCCTTCTTCAGAACAGTCTCCATAGTAATAGATGTGACAGGTGGATGAAATTAAAAATGTAAGTTGATGAAGAAATGAACGTAAGAAACATTTCTTGTCCAGAAATGCGTTATTGTTCAAACGAAAATGAACAATTTGGATTTAAATATTTTAAAATGTGAAGTTTTTCGTACGTTCCTTAACAAGCTCTGGCACGCATGATTAAATATATTTGATGCATCTGTCTGTGTTACACAGTATCGTCCGTAACTGCTTAACTAACGTTTCTACATTTATTTACAAATGCCATAAGGACGACGCCATCGCGTGCTTAGAAAATTAATATATCTTTGGATGACTCACCCATTGCCCTGAATGTACATTTCAGAGGGTGTCGGTGCGCAGCCTGAATTTGTAGGCCCTACGGCTTCCGGTTCATTTGGCCCATCCACAATGGTATTAAGTGAAAGGGAAAATAACGTGTTTACGTATATGTTTAAATTTTCCTAGTGACTCATGTTCATGCATACTTTTTACACGTTCTTGCATGATTTTCCCAGGGCACCACATCATATATTCAAGTGTTCAGGATTTACTGATGTGCTTCACTTCCTTCGTTTACTGTACGCCCCATATACAATATTTATTTACAGCATCCTCGTTCCAAATGTGCATTTACATTATTTCTGAATATAGTCGTCACCTGCAACAGAATTCAGGGACGGTTGAAAGTAACTTACTCACTCATGGTGCTGAGCCTTTCTTGAGGAGCCACCAATTCTGTAGGTAAAGGATTTCCCAGCATTTTATGGAACCCAAAGGTTCATTACCGTGTTCACAAGAGCACACCACTGCTCCCTACCTAAGCCAGATCAGTCCAATCTATACCATCCCATCCCATCTTATCTCTCTAACATCCATTTTAATATTGTCCATCCACCTACATCCTAGTCTTCCTAGTGGTCTCTCTCCTCCTGGCTTTATCACCAATATCCTATGTGCATTCATCTTCCCCATTCGTACTCCATGTCCTACCCACCTCATCATCCTTGACATGATGACGGTTGAAAGTAGTCAGAAATAAATTTAAATTCAATATATCGTGTAGATTTTCTTGTCAGGAAGCGCACACTTGCACAAGGCTGGAAGAGTATTCTAAATCAGTTTCTTGGGGCTGTCATATTGTATTCGAGACAGCAAACCCGTTTATACACCTTCATAATGACATATGGAAGACCCTTCAATCTTTATAGGTCTCTGCTTTTGTCAGTCTGCAGTCAGTAACGGTGGACCGGAAGCAGTCGAGAGATATAGGAATTTTTCTGTACGTAATATCCATCTTTGGGTATTATTGACCGAAAAATATAAAATGTGTCGCTACAAATTTCCAAAAGATGGCTTATGTCGGCCCCATTTTTGTAATGTGCACGCTACAAGCCGGACGGTCGCGGGTTCAAATCGCGATGAGATCATTGGATTTTTTTTTCAGTTGGCCAAATTCTTCCAGCCGCACTAGGCCCTGTGGTTTATTCAGCCTCTAACAGAAATGCGTACCAGGAATTAATTAAATAATTTTCCTGGGGAGTAAAGCGCGGCCGGCGAGTAAGGCTGACAACCTTACCGCCATCTTTGAGCCGATTGTCTAGATAAGGTGGGATCCTCAACGTCTTACAACCCTATAGGCCTTCACGGCCTGGTACAGGGATAGCTTTACTTACTTTTACACGCTATACACAAAAGTGTCTGTTTTTCCGTTTTCTTCACATACTTTTTTCGAATTGTTTATTTACACTTTGTCTTTTAAAGCTGTATAGAACAGTGCCCAGAAGAGGTATGGCAAAATATTTATCATCTTTTGAACTAAGACCCTATACTATTCCCAATTTTTCTTTATTCCCACACATAAAAAATTACTTTGTTGTTGTGAATGGGCTGTAATTTATGTGATGGGAAAAAATCTCTGACATTGGTTTTCTGTTGTATCTGGTGGCGGTGTAATCTTGTTCACTCACACTGTGACAACAACTTGATTGCAAGCAGAATCCATTAATTTGAGACCAGCACAGGTATAACAAACCTTCAGTAAAATGTTTCAGAATTTTAAAGAATGGGGGGGGGGAATAAACATGAAAACGACAGGAATAAAGCTGAATGACACAAATGTTCCTACTGCATTCTGAGGTTTCAAAATTGACAATGAAAATACCAGCATCTCAGCTCAGTCCATGACAAAATTGGCAATGAAAGGTTTCCTTTGACAATCCTTGAAATGGACCAGCGGTTAATTTTTAATGGCACCGGTATCAAATAATTCGATATTTTAATAATGGAAATTATAATGCATACTAATATTTCAATAGGTCTCCTAAAATAACAAATTAATACTAGTTTTTTTTAATTATGTTATCTTCTATTTAAATAAAACTTAAATAATGGAAATTTAGAAAACTTCAATTGTAGGGAGAAATTTCAGTACTAGAACAAATTAATGTGTAGTCGTTTTGTAGCCTAATTCCTTTATTTTGAAAAAATTAAGATAGGCTTATTTGATTACCAAGCTGTCTGTGTCTGTGAATCCTCTCTGTCAACTTTCGAATACCTGAACCAGCCTTCATAAAAACTGAAAATCTGGTATGTATGCCATGGCATCCAAACAACCTACCTCATGAATCCCTCCAATTAGTTTTGTTTGTCTCTTTCTTGTACCCCTCTATCGTTGTTAAGCAACGACTATGTAAAAATGTTAGCGTGGCAATGAATACATGCAGCAGTAAAAGAATTGTTGGAGGCCTCGTGTTTTATGCTGCCCATGTCGTATCAAAGTAAATCAGGCGAGTAGTTGGCCCCAGAACTTCTTGTTAGTATAAGAGTTTGCTTACAATGCTATTATTCCTTGTCGTGAAGTGATTACTCTCTTCCCCCACCCCCAAACCTCTCCCCCATAGTGCAGAATCCTCGAGGCATAGATTATCGCTTTTGCTTGTCAGAATATTTTCCGTATCTTATTAAACCGGGGAGTTAATTGCCATGTTTACTGGGCCATATCCCGAGTCACTTGAATGCAATTCAAATCCTAGTTCTTTAGGATCCTTTTTAATATACTCTCCCATGCGTGATTAGATCTTCCCTTAATTTTTTCCAGCTACAATTTTGTATGCATATAGACTCTCCTCATGCGTGTCAAGGGTGCCACCCATCTTTACGGCCTTCGGAGTAATGCTGTTGTGTTTGGGAAATGACTTACTTAAGTCTTATATTACAAATTAATACGACTTGCAATATCTGTGACACGTACTCTGGAATACTACGATACTTACCATGTAATTTCAGATCATATTCAGAAATCCTGTGACCGCCTCTGTGGTCTAGTAGTCGGAGTCCCTGGCTACAAATGCAGTGGTCCCGGGTTCGACTCCCGGTACTATTGGATTATCTGAGTAGTAGTGGGTCTGGAACGGGGTCCACTCAGCCTCGCGAGGATAGAAAACTAATATTAACGGCCGTGGGGATTCGTTGTTCTGACCACGAGACGACCTTTATCCGCTAAAGTTGGCACTAACTTCGCCGACAAGCGGCGGTCTCTCGATCGGTATAGTTCGCTTGCGGACTCCTTTTTTATTCAGAAATCCTGTGAGGAATGTATGACGTCCGATTTCTGTTTAAAAAACCTAAGTATATATGAGGAGCCTATAAAGAATCAAGAATTTTTTTTAAATAGTGGTCTATATCACCGAATAATTTCTGATATTGCGAAGGCCCAGGACACTGTACACGTGTTTCTCACGTAGACCTTGGAAGTTACACAGCGTCGCATATTTGGTCGCCTAATTATTGTTACATAATATATCATACAAATGTACACGTGTGTTTCTAATCTGTCTCCATACCCATTTCAGTCCATATGTTCACTAATAACTGCCCTCAACCGTGAAACCTACCAGAGACAATTTACAGGCCTAGTTAATCCACCGGAGAACATAAAGAATTGTAAGCGCATTAACAAAAACAATTCTAGATAAATCCAAGCCCAATTCAGTCTGAACACGTGCTGCGTATGTAATATTCACCAGTGACATGTAAGACTGCATAATTACCACTTTAATGATGGTCACAATCATTGATCTCAAACTCATTGTTTCCAGGAAGCGACCTAAGCTCAGATACTGTTACCAAATAGGTTCGGTATGTTCTTTGACTTTACAGTATTTCTGTTAGATTGTGTAGTGCAACGCAGCACTTCTTGATATCCAAACCAAGGTTATTTTGCCCAAGTCTCCTACACACGGTATTTAATGAGATAATTAGATGTTAAACTTGGTGGAAAAATAGCCGTATTAATTTGCGAAACCGTCGTTTTCTCAAAAAAGTTCTGTTACAGATGCTAAAGGGTTCTGACAGTGGTATATAACACAGAATTACTGGGTTTCTGAACTATTTCCACAGTCCGGTATTCTATAAAATACATAAAAAAACGACGTTTCGGAGACTGGATCTGTTTCCGTCCTCAAGTGAGGGGGAAGACATTCATTTAGGCCCCTTAGAAAGAGCTAATCTGAACCACTAGTCCAGTGATTGAGGTGTCTTCCCCTCTCATCTGAGGACGGACACAGATTCATTTTCCGAAACGTCTTTTTATCTATTTCCTAGAATAGCGGACGATGGAAGAAGTCCAAAAACCAGAGAATTTTCTGTTGTCACCAAGAAATGGCATTCGCATGAGATATAATTTTGAAGCATATGCACAGAAATGGTTAAGAGGAATGCATATAGGATATTGGTGGGAAATCCGGGAGGAAGGAGATCACTGAGAAGACTAAGATATAGGTGGGTGGACAATATTAAAATGGATCTTAAAGATAGCGGATGGTATGGTATGGATTGGATTGTTCTGACTCAGGGTAGAAACCAGTGGAATGCCTTGTACTGCGGCCAATTCTGGCCTATTGTACCAGCCCCAGGGTGGTTGTGTAGCAGTTGGTGGAATGAAGGTTGGCAAGGGAAACCGAAGTACTCGGAGAAAACCTGCTCCAGCGCCACTTTTTCCACCACAAATCCCACTTGACCAGACCCGGGATCGAACCCAGGCCGCCGCGGTGGGAAGCCAANGGAGTTGCAACTCCTCCCCGCGACTGCATCCGTTCTGCGGTGGTATGACTCACGGCAAATTGCAGCCGCGGCGCGCACTTGATTGTACGCACTGTAGCTTGTTAAGCGCTCTTGCACTGATTGGCGGGTGAACTACGTGTATTTTGATATTAGTGTCATTGTACCTGCTATAATTATGCCTAAAATTATGTAGAAATATGTGTATTTTGTGAACCGGATTAGTCTATTAAAACAGACTTTTAGTACCAGTCCTCTAGTGTAAGGAAAGGAGCAGTGTGTATGCCTTATGTTCGAGATCTCCCATTAGTACATTTCATTGATAGAGCAACATAGAAAATATGATATTATTATTATTATTATTATTATTATTATTATTAACTGGGATAGATGTGGTAGCGAGAAAACTAGCTATTAGCTACAGCCTGGACAATTGTCAGGGAAGAAGCCGGAGTTTCTTATCAGTAGGGAACGAGGCTGGCTGAGGATCTCATCCGGGCTTCTGGGGGCTCTTTCCTCGAAGTAAAATCGGCGGGAACTTCAAGCTGAACATTTTCCCTCCCTTAATGTCGAATTCAAGAACAAACAGGGCTTTACACCCACTTCCCATACATTTTTATGGCATGGTGTCGTGGAAAGTACATTTTTTTATTGTTATATACAGGGAGTATTTTTACTTTGTTGACCGGTTCCACTGCTGTGCGCTTCACGGTGGCCAGTACACTGCTGGCTGCAAGACGCAGTATGCCTGACGACCGATAACGCTCGGAATGAATAAGTTAAAATCCACAGATCACAGGAAGTGTCGAAAATGCTGTCCCTCTCCAAGTACATATTTTCTGCCATTAATTCTTTCGCTAAAAAGCACAGGTACAACAACCCTTGTTGCATTTACAGCACACCAGACACAAACTTTCACTTGGCGGAGCGGGACATCGGGGGATAGATATGGATTCTGTGAACTCTAGTCGTGATTATGTTACGTACTTATGTATCTTCGACAGAAAAGAATGTCAATTACCGAGCGATCTCACCTTCTACGACAGACTGTAGAAACCAATTGCAAAAATGAACCCTGATAGCTTGATCGCGCGGCTGGAAGGCGTGCGTGGATTACTGTTCTGTAGGGTTTAAGGTTCAGCAGTTGTCTGCCTTGCACTCGACTTTGACACTCCAGTCTCTTGAGCTAGACGTTTCAGTGGTTTTCTAGGTGCCTGTTAAAGTCTGGCCCCTATGTAATCTAATTTCTCAGTAAGCTCTCGGCGCTTATGTTTTGTTTCTTGTCTATTGAGAATAATGTCTTAAGTTTATTCACCAAATTGTGAATTGTTTGTCTGCTGGGAACTCTGATCAGGCAATTTTCGCCGACACTTTCCAGCAGATCCCTATTTCATATAGGCGTCGTACAGAAATACACGATACCGCACCATGACTCTAACCAGCTTTAACTGAGAACAGATGGCTAATGGAGCTGATAACTGTTGCCTAATACTGACAAATCCTAAACAAACTCCCAAGCATACCGCGCTGCTCGCCGTGAAACATAATATACCGTCAAGCGGTCCAGAAGGTAATTACTTCCCTTCATTCTAAACGTTGTCGGCCATCAGATGCTGCTTAATCGGCAAAATTCGTATGCTCCTCGCAGCCTGCGGTGCACCGGTCGCGGTGAACAGCCGAGCCGTGAGCCTGCCAAGAAAGTTAAAAGAAACCTGTATTATTGCATTCTGCTGAATTTCCTTAATGCCATTATCAGATGTCACTTCTGCTCTTGTCATCACCCTTATCAGTAATGAATGTAATCATTTTCTTAACATAACATAAAATAATTCATGAAATTAAAATAATATTTTGTCATATTTTATTGAGTTGAATAATTATTTAATGAGTGTTACCGCCTTTCATTTCAGATTGGATGAGCCCTTTTGACAGAGTCGTTTGTGGTAAGTTATTTTAACTTTATTAAAATTATGACACAGTGTTGTGGATTATTGTTTAGCGTAACTGACGACCTTTCAAATTAATATTAATACTGCATGTTTGTTCTTTTTGGGTGGTTTGTTGGCTTTCATAAAGTATTTACCTATTATTTTATGTTGTCCACATTTCCTCATAACCCTTGTTCCTGTTGCACAGTTCCTCTCCTTCTCCTTTTCTTGTAGCAGCCTGCACGTTTCTCGGGCTGTTTATATACGTTAACACAGCGGATTTCTGTGTCAGTAGAGATTAACACGTGTAAGAAGTTTAGTATTTAATTTAAAGCATAATAACGCAGGCCAGCACATGTTTTATAAAACTCGGATTCCCCTCCAAATAAGACTAATAAAAAGAAAGCGCTTAGAATGAGCTATTTTTTCGTTAATACACATGTATAAACAAAAATAAAATTGGAATATTACTTAGAGACAATAACCATTTCATTTCACCTTCAGGCAAAACCCATCGCGCTTTTGTCAGGGTAGGGAGTGAGGAATGACTACAACAAGTAAAGATAAAAGAGATGGTAAACGAATACTCGAAAGAGGATGGAAGGAGATAAATGTATGAAAGGATAGATAAACAAGAATAACAGGGGGCGAGTGTATAGTAGTTTATATGCAATGACCGTCAGATAAACCAATAAACGATGGTGTTATGCAACAACTTTCTAGACAACAGCTCGATAAAGACATTCCCACGGCAATGAATATGCACCCAACAGTAGAAGAACGGTGTTTTTATGTGATCCCTGCAACAGTTGGAAATGAGTGTTCATTTGAGTGTTGAGTTCTGCAGTGGAGGCTGAAAAGAAATTCCACTATAATTAATTTGACAGTTCGGTTGTGGAACATTCGTCAGCCAGTAAGTACGTAAGCATGGTACATTGTTAGGACCTATTACCAGGAAAGGGCTAGTGAAAACAAACTGGGATGAATTAGTGTGTGATGTAGTGAGAAGATGAGTGTATGAATTAGCGAGAGCGTTATAATTACTTGTAGTTACGATCTATAAGTGGTCAGTAAATACAGTCATCAATCCAAACCCCGTTATAGTCACTCTTAGACGTGATAGTACAAATGAGGAGGAAGAAGGGTGGAAATAGTGACGATAGGACGAAGGAATAAGAAATGGATAAGGGTGAAAAGGGATCAATGAAAGGAAAACAAGAAGTTAGCTGTCAGTATTACAAGAGGAAGAATTTTCTAAACGCTATCATAAAAAGATAGGCGTCGTGACGCCTGGAATTTGTGCCTGCAAGTATATTAATGCAAGAATCAAAAACATGTTATTATTACGTCGTTACTGATATGCGAAGCACGGCTGTCCACCATTTGTAGGTCACTCTGCTAGTAAGGACCATCATACAGGCAACTTCTTCCGCCCAGTGAACCATGTTTCGGCTGCCTGTGTATTTATAACAGAAAAATAGATGGAGGGTAGCTGACGGATGTGTTGAAACACGGCTTTTCTGTTCTTCGCCGTCACTGCGTGGGTTTTGCTCCATTGTTATTGGTCAGCTGCAGGGATAGGGAGACTAGACGGACATCACGAAGTGGCATACTTGCAGTTTCGGCCCTGCATATCTCTAAGAATTGTTTGTATCTGCGCAGAATATCGAATTTTAATTCATTGAATGGGACTTCCTTAATAAGACCTGGAGTTCCTGTATTTCATTATCTCGTCGCTTCTTTCTTAATGGTTTCCTATCCACAGTTTGTGCAGTAGACATAAAGGGTATAATATTTTTAAATATGAACAGTTAAGAAAGCAGTCTTCTGGGATGTGGCGCCGTGTGGATATTGTGTTAACCGACGTTTCGGAAGAACGTATCGCCTCCATCTTAGGGATAGAAGAAAAAAAAAGAAAATCCCCGACCGAGGAACCAACGTGAGCAGGTGCTTCTTTCTTCTACCCTGAAGATGGAGGCGATACGTTCCTCCTAAACGTCGGTTAACACAATATCTACACGGCGATATATCGTAGAAGACTGCTTTCTTCATAGTTACCGCCGTGAAAACCTCAAATCTTACATTGTAAATAATTGTTTTCATTGATATTGTTGGATTTCTCGCAAGATTCTTTTTGTTGTAACTGAGCGAATTTTACACTGCAGCAACAATGCGAAACTTATGTGAAGTTTACGTCAGTAGGATATATGAGATCAAATTCTCTGTTATGTGCTACCTGACGTAAACTTCTCATAAAATTTACACCTATGCTCTAGTGTAAATGGGTCAGAACGTCCCAACAGAGTTTCCGTTACCCATATATAGAACACTTTCCGAATTTTGTTCGTATAGCAAGAACTGGCACGTTAATACACAGGAAATCAAAACCGTCAGGGTTGAGAATCATCACAAGAAAAGTTGAAGGATAACAGAGATCGGCCTGAACATTCCCCTCTCAAGCTTTATACGTGTCTTGCTGAAGAAACCGGATCAGGCCCTATAAAAGAGACCGCGAGAAACAACAAAATACTGAAATGACGGCTTTGTAAGAGCCGCTGTTGTGGACTCTCCTCAGTGACGTGATAAAGTAACTACAGTAACTGCTACCTTCACTCAGCTAACGATGGTGAACTTTATTCTTAGTCATTTTTTTACCTGTTGAAGTTAACTTTTGGTGTACTGAACAGGTGAACGCATAAAGCAACACAATGGTTATTTTAGTCGAAATTTTCGGATAAAGTTAACGTTTATTTTATCGAACAAGTGAACGCACAAGAGATACAGGAACAAAGCGAACACCTTCTCATTCACCAGTGTTTCTCAACTGGTGGGTCGTGTCTTCATAATATTTGAAGGTCGGCTGAGTAAGACGTGAGATATCCAAAAATATCAGGCCCAATTCACTCCCCCCCCCAAAAAAAAGAAACTCGTAGACAGGACTTTCCTACATTCTAAACGCACGTTTCTCTCTAGTGGTTCACTGAAATCATACAGAAACAATTATGGAAGTATCGTGTAATTACGAGTATATCAATAAAACATAAAGAAATGACACCATCGTCAAGTTCTCATGAACTTCCATTAATGCTTAATGGCATATAATAGTAAAATTTACATTTTATGAGCACTACTTTTTGTAGAAACAGAGGATTATGGCTTTGTTTTAATTCTGGCGAAACTTTTTTTTTTTCCTCGGCGGGGGAAGAAGGCAAATTACCGGTGGGACAGAAGATGTAAGCGCGCTGTTTTAGAGACATTTCACTTCATGATGAAACTGTTGGTGTCTGGTGCGCCCTGAATGTGTGGAGGATTACTAACCCCATGTTTTATGCAAATACAATTAGCTCAGAGAGATATGCATAGACCAGTAATCATCACTGTGTAGCGTCAACAATCCCTGTACTAGTTGCCTCGGCACAGCCTCCGAATAGCCTTCCTGTGTCCCCATGGTAGAGGACTAGATTCAAACTCGGGCGTATGTGAAAGTTACAGTATTTATGTAACATGTATATATATTGGGAATTCTTATTCTTACATATCCTGTCCTCATGCTAGGAGATATCGGAAATTGTTCCTTTTAATAAGTTTCATTTCCATTGCCGAAGCAGGGTAAAATTAGGGTTCATATGTCTACACTGTTCTGTGTTGGAGTGCTGATTGGTTTGCTGCAGGGGTTCTCAAACTTTCATAAAGCGCAGTACCTTAAAACAATACAAGGAGAAATTTTACTTTCTTGGCCGGTAACACGGTTCTGCGCTTCACGGCGACCGGGATGCCGCTTGCCTGACGACCGAAGACGTTTGGAATGAAAAAGTTACAATTCATAGATCACAGGAAGTGTTGAAAATGCTGTCGTGTACACATACATATCTTTCGTAATTGTTTCGTTCAAAACCTAGGTACAACAATCCTTGCACTTAGCTGGATGGTCCGGGACTTCGTGGGTTAGATGTGGATTCTGTGAACTCCAGTAGCGATTATTTTGCGTATTTATGTATCCCTGCAGGTGAAACCACGCTTAATCAGAAAAGAATGTCAGTTGTGGATTTATCTCACCTTCCATGATAGACTACATACAAACAGCAAAAATGAGCCCTACTAGCATTATAACGCGACTGCAAGACCTGGATTACTGTTGTTTTCTGTGGTCTAAGCTTCAGAATATGTGTTGACCTTCTTGCACCAGGCTTTGACACTCCAATCTCTTGAGCTAGACGTTTCAGTAATTTTCTAGGTGCATGTTCAAGTCGGGCTCCTATGTAATCTAATTTCTCAGTAAGCACTTGGCGCTTATGTTTTGTTTCTTGTTATTAAGAATCACGTTGTTGTAAGTTTATTCAACAAACTGTGAATTGTTTCTCTATTGGGAACTCTTTCATCACGAAATTTACTCGAAATGTTTACAGAAATTTTCTAGCAGATCCGTATTTTACATAGGTGTCATACAGAAATAGCCGTTGCTCTAAAGTATACAGCACCATAACGTACCACATTACTCATTAACTATAAATGAGAACAAACGGCTAATGTAGCTGAGAACTACTGCCTACTACTAACAAGTCATAAAAGAACCCAACACTTGAACCGCACTGCTCGCCAGGAAACATAATGCCGTCAGGCGGTCCACAACTTAATTACTTCTCTTCATTCCAAATGTTATCGACGAAATTCATACGCACCTCGCAGCCGGCGGTGCACCGGTCACCGTGAAACGTAGAGCCGTGAACCGGCCAACAAATTTAAAATGTTCTCTGTACATAAATTTAAGAAAACACCTCCATTTATGCCGGTCAGCGAAAGTGCAGTTCTGCAGACTATTGCAGCTCTATCAGGCTATACTGGTGTAGTAGAAACCTAAATGACTTCACAGCATGTCTACAGGTACTGTAAGCTACAAAATTCTCCTCCACAGGCATGAAAATAAAAAATGCGAAATATTTCGCCGGCTGCAACAATACCTTTCGGAATCACATACAATAGATACCTATAGATAGATAGATAGATTTAACAAAAAG